CCGCGACGGCCGCGCTCGGGAGCGCGGGCACCCGAACGTCCCCGCGCTGCACAGGGGACACGACCGCACCGAGACAGAAACTGCGGAGCAAAACAAATCCAAGGGGAGAAAAAGCTGAAAGGACTTATTTTTAGCCAAACACAGAACGGCGTGCGCAAACGGCGGGGAGCCGGGGAGGGGAAGGATCTTTCCTGACCTTGCAGCAGTCAGCTCGCCCCGCAGGAGGGGATTTGATTACGTCTCATCAAAGGCTGCTTAACTACAAATATTGCCAAGCCTAAAATTGCCTCGTCCTTTCCAAAATGCAGCTCCAGTTAATTAACTCTCTGGTCCCTGGAGTAGGTTTTCGTGGAGGATTTTTAGCCACATTTTACTTTGCCCCAGAGTCTCTCTGGAGCACTCCCTACCTGTGCGTGTTTTCCTAGGGCTTCTGTGTGTGTTGGGGTACTTGAGTGCAGATGTGTGGGGTTTTTTTTGCTTGTTTTCTCCTTTGAAGATGATTAATCAGTAAATGCATCTTCTGAAGGACCTTGAGGCCGTTTCCCCAGGCTCTGGGAGAAGCAGCGGGAGCTGCCGGGCAGCCCCGGATCCCGAGGGCAGCGCCGCCGGCGCGGCTCGCCCGCAGCGGCCTGCAGCAGCACCTTGCTTGCCACGCGCCGGGATGTGGAGTTGGGGAAGGGCAGCTGCACGGAGCTCAGGATGCTGCAGTTCAAGGGCCCTGCAGGGATTTCTGGAGCGAGAGGAAAGCCCTCTGCTGACTGCAGCGCCAGCGTCCGCATGGAGAGAGCTGGGAGGAACCACGCGAGCGGCCGGAGCCAGCGGGGACTCGGCAGCTCCCTGGGAAATCACTCACGGTGTCCCAAGAAAACAAAGGTCATTCCTCTTAAAACAAAATAAAGCAACCAAAAACCCTCCAGAAAACACAAATCACACCAGAAGCCCCAGGGGCAAGACAGGAAGATGCAACCATACCTTTCTGCTCAAGCAGTTCCATTTTCAAACTATTGTGTATTCATTTTAAACAAGGCCAAGCATATCTTAAATAGCAGAGAACAGAAAGGACATTCTAAATATTTATTTTATTCAATCTCAAAACCCTGACATCCTTAAGGGTTTTGCATCTAACTTACTTTCATTAAAACTTGGATCAATAAATATACGTTAGTAGGTTAATAGAGATAAACAACAAAGTACATTTTAAAATTAGGCATTCAGGTAATGATGAAGCCAGAACAAAACCTTGGCACTTAAGAGATCAGAGTTATTTATGTGGTCATTGAAGCAACTTGAGCACAAAGAAATTCTGCACGGTGCAATCCATAATCCTGCGGAGACACTGCTTAAAAGAAGGGAGGCAAATCCCATCTCCTGCATCATTTAAAAGCAGCTCGTTGCAGTCACTGATACCCGCACGGGCTCAATTCCTGCCAGCGCTGCAGAAGCTGCTTCCAGCAGCGACTGCCCCCAGGCAATTTAGTGCAGCGAACACGTAGGATAAAAAGCAGCAAGAGGCAGGAAAGCACTTCCACGTGTGTGCAGGGAAGCACTGCCTGGAGGGGATGGAACTGCCCGCTGCAACATTCCCTGCTTCCAGGCACAAAAACGAGGATGCGCCTGATCCTCCAGAGAGTTTATCTCTGTCCAATAAAGACTAATGGATGGGATGGGAGGCAACGCTAGGATCACCTGGCTTGCCCCAAGGCAAACTCTGTGCAAAGCGCTGTGGTCTTTGAAAAGCTGCAGCTGCAGGAAATCATGTTGCAGCTGTGGTAAGATGAAGACGGCACTTTAAGATGAAGGAAAATGTCATTTCTACATGGCTCTGCAGCCGGAACCAATATGCATTGGCAACAAAATATTAACATGTTTATGAAATGACATGGAAGAAGCAGAAGACATTCAAGTAATTTCTCTTTTGTAAATTTATATGAGCCGTCCTGACGCGCCAGGCGCGGAGCGGGGTGCGGATCAGACTGCCCTGCACAGGTGCCCGCGCGGCTGCATCGCCTGCAGCGGCACTGCCAAGCCTGGCTCAGCACTCTGAAGTCCCAGCAAAGCCCCTGCGTCACCATCCCAATCCCCCTACCCGCGCCCGAGCGCTCCAAAGGACCAAACCAGGCCCGAGCATCGCCCGCGCGCGCCGGGACGCGCGGCACGGCGCAGCACTTACGTCGATGAGGTCGGAGACGTCGTGGATGTAGTACTTGCTGACAGCGGCGTTGGTGGCTGCCAGGTTGAGCAGGTAGTCGTTCCTGGCCTTGGTGCACTTCAGCTTGTTTTCCGAGTATTTGGCCTGTCTCTGGAAAAGCAGAAGGGGTGTCAGAGCACGGACGGATGCTCCGCACGCAGCCGCTCCTGCTGCAGAGCCCGGAGAACCGGGAGCAACACGTCCAAGGTGGTGCAAGGGGCAAAAGCAGGAGCCCCCGGCAGGACGCGGGAGAGGCCTGTGAGGAGCCGCGCGGGCCGTGCCAAGCGCGAGGGCTGCAAGGGCTGCAAGGGCTGCAAGGGCTGCAAGGGCTGTTCAGCCACCCGCACGCACGGGGAGCCCGCGGCCAACCTCCTCCCAGGCCCACGGGCTCTGGGGCCAGGAGCTGGGGCCGGTGCAGGACGGTCCCCAGCCCCGGAGCCAGGTCTTGGTGCAGGACGGTCCCCGGGCCAGGAGCTGGGGCTGGCGCAGGACGGTTCCTGGCCCAAGGGCTCAGTGTGGAAGGTCAACCCTTCACAGGTTGCGTGGACGCTCACACACACAAACCTTGTCTTGGGGAAGCTGGTCGTTGTCTCAGAAATTAACAGAAGAAAAAGATGAACAAACGAGTCAAATTCTGGAGCTGCTGAGAGCTGGGGGACGGCTGAAGCCGGGACGGAGCTAAGCGTTCCGGCCAGGGGAGCAGGCGAGCGCCGCGCTCGGCGCCCGGCCCGCCGGGGGAGCAGGGCGCGTTGTGGGTCTGCGTGGGGTTTCATACAACCCCCCGCCACCAAGGCTGCGCCCAGCGACTCCCGGGACAGCTGGTGTCCCTTGTCCCAGTGCCGTTCTTGGCAGTAACAGGCGGGACAGCAAGCCTGCTCCATGAGAAGCATCCCCTGGCCAGGCAGATGCCCAATTTCAAGACAAAAGTCAGCGGACGCCCCAGGGGAGCGTCGGTCCGGGCCGGCCTCCGCGCCGCCCGCCTCCCCGCTCACCCACCTTCTCCTTCATCTTCTCGATCTTCTTGACGGAGCTGCGCCGCTGCGGCCTGTCCTCGTGCCGCAGCAGGTTCACGCTGATGTCCCCCGCCTTGTTGAACTGCTTCTCCTCCTGCTTCTCGGCCTCCTTCAGCTTGCTCTCCGCGCTGATGCTTTCCGCGTGGTACATGTGGTAGGTCTTCATCACCTGCGGGAGGAGCCGCGCGGGGGGC